GCTATTATATAAACCCATTGAATAAGGGCTGTGATATTTATTATATAATTTTTTAGAGGGTGGGGGTTAAACATATATTATATCAATATCTTATATTACACAAAGAAATTATATGATTTCTAAATTGGCCAATCATATAGATCTTATGTATAGGGAGGGTAGCCCTTATAGTAAATGGATATTATGTAATAAATGTTAGAGCTCTAAGGTTTGGAATGAATTTATCTGAAGAACCAGAATTCTATATTTAGTTTTCAATAAACCTTGATTCTACAAAGTCTTCTTCACAATAATTACATTTTTGGCGAGGTATTGTTCGATCATGTTTATCAGGTCCAGCAACTTTTGTAAAGATTAAATGAATTTCTTTTGATGGGATCTACCACAAACACAAGACGCTGTTTTGAAGAATTTTTTTGGGAAAATTTAAGAAGAGTTAACCCAGTGATCATCACAATATCACATAACCATCATTCGGCCTAAGTTAGAGTTAGGTTAGGGTTAGTTTAGAGTTAATTTAGGATATAGTTTAGGCCAGTTTATTTAATTCTGGTAAACAAATGATGTCATGATATGTTTATCAAATGATTGTCGATCACTGTTCTTAAAGTATTCCAATTTTTTTTTTTACAAAATATTTTTTTTTATGATTTTTGCTTTATTTTTTTTATGAATTTTATAAGTATCAAAAATACATATTTAAATATATAATACAGTATTTATTTACATTTAATAAAATTTTAACAATTTTACCGATCGCAAAGTTTATGCATGTTATTTTAAAAACACGATTGATATACATGAAAATGACGCGGAAAATATGTATTTAGAAGGATATATTATAATCAGACTTTTTAAGTAAGCTTTTGGGAGGGATTAAAAAAGCAAAGCGTGTATTTAGAAGAGACATAAATGTAGAAATATTATAATAACTATATGTATCAAAATTCAAGATACTGTTACAGGTGAAATACGGCGAGTCAGTCGCTTTACAATCCAAAAACTCACGTAATCTATGGTAAGTAACCTTATGAAAGAGGTGTGTTAGATTTGGCTAGAGGGTAATTTAGGCTTCGGTTACTTTGGGTTAGCAACATTAGGTCACGTGTGCAACGACTTGTCAGTTTGTAACTTTAGGGATCAAAGAGTGTATTTTAGTGCAATAGTATCTTATGTAGTGTTATGAGCAAATGTATTTTAATAAACTTGGAACTTAGTTATTACTGAAGCAAAATAAGACATGATTTTTCTCGGGGCGATAACGCCTTTATTTATAATAAAATTTTACTAGTACTTAATAAAATCATTATATCTCTTATATCTATTATCTTTATTAAATTGATTATATGGGTATATTGAATAAAACTACTATATCTATTAAATCGGTTTTATCTATTATTTTTGTTATATTAGTTATCTGGGATATATTTAATTTCTTTGATATATTCAATATATCGCTGGCAACTCCTTTTAGGGTAAGAGATCGTCCTAACTGGGATAATGCGAGTTGGCGCAGCAATTCTTAGATCATATTTTTCTGACCTCACAATACTTCAATAGTTTTGTTTCATATGTAGAATTCGATTAGTGCTTTAATATTTTTCTATTAATTAGCTGTTTTTTTAATGGGTGTATTACAATTATTGAATAAATATCAATATGCTGTTTTAGCCAAATACTCCTTAAGTCAAGATGTTGCGGTAGAAACTTTAAGCATCGGAACAAGCCGAACGTAACTAAGTTATAACTCATCATAAGGTGAGACCAATTTAATTCAGTGGTTTATGTTACATCCTACTCACAAAAAAAAAGGGGGAAGGGAGTTTATTATGAATTTTTTCTCCAAAATGCTCCGCATTATTATAAAAATTTTCCAAAATTTTCTGCGTATATAGTTAGGGGGAAGGCGGGAGAGGGGGGTAACGTAAACCACTAAATCGAATTGGTCTTGCCTAAACTATAGGTTGCCTATAAACAAAAATTTTAAAATTTAAATGCTATATTATTAATGAAATAAGCTTACCTCTTCCTCGAAAAATATTATTGTGGAATTGACCTAATGTCCACAAACAATATACAGACAAAAAAGTACGAAAATATGATGATTCTTGCCCAGCCAATCAGATAATAACACACCAGTCACGTGACAATAACTTAAAGACGGCTAATATTTCCATACCCCAGTAAATCACTTTTTTCAAAATTTTGATCGAAGATATCTTAACAACCACTTCTTATTTGAATTTTATTTTTTGTAGAATTCGAATAAAAAATATTATCGAATTTTGTTGGGTAGTTGTCGAGATATCTTCGATCAAAATCAGGTAAATTTTTATCGCGGCTTACATTTTGATAGACGTTTAAATTTTTTTCTGAAATTTTAATCGAACTACCTAATGAATTCGATGAATTTTTATTTGAATTACATTATTTAGTAGAATTATATAAAAAAAAAGCTCATCGAATTTATTAAGTAGTGTCGAGATATATTCGAATAAAGTTTCAGAAAAATTTAAACGTCTATCAAAAAGTAAGCCACGATAAAAATTTGCCTGATTTTGACAAAGATATCTAGACCACAACCCAATGAAATTCGATAAACTTTTTTATTTGAATTCAAAATAATTTTAAACGTCTATCAAAATGTAAGTCATAGTAAAAATACCTAGCTTTGATCAAAGATATATAGACAACTACTTAATGAAATTCAATGAATTTTTTTATTTAAATAATAGAATTCTAATAAAAATAGTTCATCGAATTTCATTATGAGGTTGTTGAGATATCTTCGATCAAACTTTAAAAAAAAAGTGTTTAACAGGGGTGGAATAACGACTATTAATTTAATTTAATTTGACGGATGTCACGTGACAGGGACAGAAAAGGTTGTAGCACGAAAATAATTTTCGCATTCGGTCAAGTGATAATATTGGATATAACACCGTACCCTAAGTTTGAGGGATAGTAAAAAAACATAAAAATATTCGAATAATAGCTCCAGTTCTTTAATAATTATAAATATTTGTGCAAGTTAGTGCAAAAAGTTTGTAGACTGGAATGATAAATATTCAATTTTTATTCATATGATTTAAGGTTCTCTCAAGACATAAATTATAGGTGGAATTCAATTACACTAAACATGTTTTACTATTTAAATTTTTTTTCTTTGTGTGCATGTGTACATGAAATGCTTGTGATCGAGATCATGCATAAATACTAATTAATTAAGTTTAATTAAGGTAATCCTTTACTGTTCTACAATTTTATTGAAAATTTTAGCCAATCGGCGCAATTCTATTGTGATAAAGATAGCCGATTCCATGAACTCACCTGACCGGCTAAACTATTTTTCACAAATTAAAAAACTAGTTTAGGTTCGTACTTGTGACACTCGTAATAAACCAAGTGCTTATACATAATTTATTTATTAACAAACCACATTTTATTATTGATTAAAAATACTTTTCACTAATTAACATACAATTTCTGACGGTTATGAAGGTGCTTGAGAACGCACAAAGTCTCTCATTTTATGTTTAATACATATTGTATATTATCAACTGATAATGAAGTTATCGGTGATTTGTTAGAATATTTTGCTTAAACAGGTATTAATTAAATTATATCTACTTCGCAATTTTAGATATCGTTATTCATTCCTTAGTATGCAAGACTTTTTCTTAAATTAGTATTATTTGAACTCGTAAACTATAGAAGCATATTTCGAAGATTATCTGACTGCATCCTCAACTCTATATTAGTTAAACAATTTACAATATGGGTAATTTCTTATACGTGACCAATTTATCGTACAATTACGTTATTGCTTTTTTACAAATCGTCATTAACTATCAACCCTTGAGATTGTTACGCTTAAAAACTATGGTTACATCACAAGGACACAATAAAAAAAAAATAAAAATCATAACAAAGTATTGAAGCAAAATATACAGTATAAGAAGATCAAACGATAAATATTTACATTGTAACAATATTAAAAGTTAATAGATAAACTGAAATTAGTAATTAATATTGTATATGGTATCATACGGTGTTACAGTTTGAGAAGTATTCGATTGTGAGCACAGATGTCATTATAAAATTGCGTTTAGTTTAACTTTTTTTATAAATAAAAAAGAAGATGTACAAAAAAGTCATAATTAAAAAGAATTCATAATTATAATGATCGATAAAATCAGGTTTATCAGGTTACATAAATTCAGAAAATTCTCCGAAAATTTATTCTAACCAATCAAATTCCGAGAATTAAACTTACGCTAAACTTTTGATTTATCTTATGGGAGTACAAAAAGGCTGTTACAATGATATAGGTTAAATTTTCAGCTAGCACAAAATCTTTGCAGGTTATTTGTGTGTACCAAAGGGGCGTTTTGTGGCTCTAATCTGTTTGATTCAGTACCTGTTTCATTATTGGAAACTCTAATAGCAAAACACGTACATTCGTATACGTTTTACACTTAAAAAGAATATATATCGATATTTATCTTGGCACATGCATGACATAAGCCGTTTAACTAAAAATAGCATTTTTACGTTTTTTTTTCTTAATCAAAAAATTAAAGATATAAAAGTAGCATTAATGAGAATTTTAAGTAAATATTTCTAAAAGTTCCATTTTCTATTTCTTTACTTTTAAAATATTCAGTTATAACTTTTGCTTATAGTTATCCACGAATAACAAAAAATTAACCAGATATATTTATTCATTTATTTTAATTATTTATATGCTTTGATAATAATTTCTGATTAAAGTAAAAATAAAATAAAAAAAAAACAAAAAAAGGAAGATTAAAATGAATGATATAGATAGTGTGCCGGTGTTAAATTTTTTACATAAAATCCAAAATCCCGTACCTCAATTTGTATTAGGGTGTCTACCGGCAATAGCTATAATAGGCGCAACACCAGAAAGAGGTTTTAAAAGAAAATTATTTTGGATAGCACGATGCCTTGCATGTCCATTTACTGGAATATTCTATATGTTGGTTGTAGAAAATAAAGAAAAATCATTGTTTGCATATTGGTTGCCATCAGAAAGATTTATTGACGATAATGATGAGCAAATATCATATATGCCTTTTGGTTATTATGCTAAAAAGATATTAAAGCCCACTAATGATGCGATGAAAGAATGTATGAAAGACTGTGTAGCGGAAGCTAGTATATTGGAAAGACTATCATCATTAGTCTCAGCTTATTATATAATAGTTGGTATAGGTTCTGGAATAGCAAGGATATATACACCATCCTCATGTACTGACTGGCCGTATGTGTCCGTTTTATTAGCTTGGACATTTGTAGTAATTTTTAAAAGATCAATCTGTGGAAGGTTAATAGTGAAAAGTCCTAGTGATATGTTGAACGAGTTCGTAAATGCTAAAAAGTTAGTATTAAATGAACAATTAATTGTAAAAGATCTTAGTGAAAAAGATCTAATACGTAAACGAACATTGGTTATATTTATTGGTATAATAACAATTCTATTTCCTTGGCTATCAATACTTATGGCTTATTATACTCCTCCTGTTGGATATTTTT